ACACCTAGGCTTCCCCTTGAAGTAAAATCCATATACTAGTAAACGTGAGATGTAAAATGCTAAAAAACGGAATAAGAGCGAGACCCAAGAACACAAAAAAGCGCACGAAAACTTACAGAGGCACCGTTTTACGGAAGTCGTGTATGTTTGACACTATTCTCAAGCACCTGCTTTTAACCACCGTATAAAATGGTAGGTTTGAGAACTAGCCGCTGACATACCAGACCCGTTTAGAATTTGTCTATTAACTGAAGATAATCCCAGAATAGTGCATTCAAGACAGCCACTGTATGTTCACCCAAGTTATATTTTTCCATTCCAAAGGTACAGCTGGTCGAGGTCTCTAGTGTTCGCAGCTGCTCCACACCAGTCAACTTACTTGTCTGTCGTTTCGCACTCGATGGTGAGGAAGTATACCCAATCGGTGCAAGTCAATCCGATGAAAATCAGCTCAGCAATCCGTGCAATATCTACTCCGAACAATTGTCCGGACCGCTTCCACAGTGGATAGTGGAACTGAAGAAAAAGGCGGAATTGCAAGATAACCACATGTGCTTCCGACATGAAATATTTTATGCAACTGCATGTGAGTTGTTTGGCAATTAACACCTGTGAATGATTAACTAAGCAAACCTTGAAATTCAGGGTTCGATATTAGTTCCAGTCCTCACATCAAGCCATCAGGCAAAAATAGCAGGAGAAGGACCCAAGCCTAATGATAAGTGTCTCATGGTTCCATTTTTTTTCAACAGACTCTAATGAACGCACTTTAATAGACGCTCAGAACTTGCCTCTTGAATGAGCTCACCAGTTAACTACCAAAAATTCTCATGTTATGGCTAGATTCACCTCGTTGGTGCCCAGGCGTGAATATATCTCATGGAACAAAGCTCGACATTGTGGCCCATGAAAGTATTCGTGTTCAACTGAAAGTACCACCTTCAGCCTCAACTAGGCATTGAATGTGTAAACCGACGGACACCTGGCCACACCTGTTACTTGGCTTTAAAAGCTAGCTAACTCTAACTGGGGACAAAGATCCCAAGGGCGGTCAGATTAAGTTCTGTTGCTCTTCATAGTAAAATGCTCTGGCTGTTGACCAATAAATTTAGCCCACCTTATCCATAGGATATAGGACCGCTAATATTTAGACGTCATGACATCAGTGGACAAGTCTGGTTTGAAGAACCCAGGAAAAAAAACTTGCCACAAGGAACAAGTGCCTCAATCTTCTCAACTTGGAAGTCTTTATGTCCACAGCGTTAGTCTTCTTGTGTCCTGTGATTTCAGAAGAAGCTGTGTTCACGTACACAGCTAAATGAGAAACGGTGTAGGTTTCAATTTTTCATGAGACAGACAATCAAACCACAGTGATTCTTGGTGCGATAAAGGTTCTTGCCACCCAATATATAAACATTCAAAACCTCTTTCATAAAACCCTGAAACTCGTTCTAATCGAGTCATTCTCGTCTAGCAACCCATAACAACACCTCGCACGACGTCTGACCAGCTTGATCGGTTTCAGGATATAATTTGCAATTCAAAGTCACTGGGTAAGCAGGATACGATGGACTGGCGAACGAGCAGCGTCTTTGACCATCACAGGAAAACATGTATACAGGTATGATGCACAAAACAAAACAAAATTCAGTCACATAATCACGAAATCCAAATAACAACATATAACTTATGCAAACAAGTGACCAAGAAGGCTCGGATTTCAGAGTTAATCGGCTTAACTTATGCAACAAGTGACCAAGAAGGCTCGGATTTCAGAGTTAATCGGCTCTTTGGGAACACTCGTCAAACCACATGATCACCTCGTCTGTGGGATGTCCGGAGTTCAAACCCCAGCATGGTCAAGTAAATGCGCTGCTGATGAGACATAATAAGAGCGAAACTCTATTCCAATGCCTCTTCTTTCTGGTGTGGACTCAACAGAGTAATTGTACCAAGGCAGGAGGACAACTGGAGCGATGCGAGCTCGAATTCTACAAATCCTGCAACCACATACGACTAAGTATAAACAAACGTTTATCATGGAGTCATAACCAGATCCTTATTGTAGGGGAACTAGCCTCACAAGCTAAGTGTTTCTGTTTAATCATTATCCTCATGAAGCCAAATATAAAGTGTATCCAACAGCACCTGTATACATACCAGGTCTGCCAAAACACTGGCATATTCCACGAAATACTGTGCGAATTGTAACTACACTTGGTTTCCTTTAGAAGAAATCTCTCTAGATAGAAATCCACACTTCAGATCAGAATGTTTAACAATTTAGTGCTGAATTCCTTTATGAAAGTTTGACCTGCACAAACCAACACGCTGCCAATGAGAGCACATGACGTCAGTAGCTGGTCGGTCTAATTCTTTTGTGTTATGCTTGCATTACGCGCAGAGATATAACTAGACCGCTGCTCTCTCTGGGCTTGTTTAGTCTAAGCCGATGGAACTGAGGTGGAAACATTGTGAAGCCACTCAGTGGAAGCTTCACATCTGTGTTCTCATTACTCATACGCTGTGATTCAGAGTAGAACCACTGATACTCCACATTACTTAGCTGACAAGGAAAAATAAATCTAACTTCACTTTCGATGGGCTTGGTTGTGGTAATCATCAGTACATTCTTATTGTTACAGATTTAATTCAATGAGCACTTGACCTACTGAGTGATACGTCTAGACTCACTGTTGACAATAAATGGAAGTAGCTGGGGGAGGGGCGAGAATGAATGCTGATGAGGGGAAGTGTGACGACACCGCGAAGAGTTTCAAAGCCATGAAGATTACGGATGTGGATGACTTTATCAGATGTGGAAAACAGAATACTGTGACCGGAATTTCTAAAGTGCAAGAGCAAACAATAGCATCCATCAGGTCCTCATTTCGTTTTATAACATTATTACTTACCCCTGTTTTAATCGCTAGCTATGTAGTGGTCTGACGACGAGAAGCCGAAAACGTTATTGCTCATCACTGTGTTCTTGCTGAAGCTATGAGAATAATCAAGCAAATGATGTTTTCTTTCAGTGAGTTACACTTAAAGAGTTCCGTAGCAATTCATCGAAATTCACAGGTAGCACGTGAACAGTTTTGCCTTGCCTGGACAACATCCGCTCTGTGTAGCTCGGTCCTTGATTGGCTTCAGTGACAATTGGATATCTCCTGACACACTCAAAGTATAGTTTCTCACGAATCATGTAATCATGTGCTGGTCGAGAATTCGGTCCAAACGACTACCAGTTAATAGAACATTACTGCGAAATGTCTTTTTTCGGAAATTCTTCCCATGTTAGTCTTCACATCCGCATTAGAAACCGAGCCAACAAATCGACTTTAACTTAATGGGCCGTTTTCCCCAAATATTTCGTCGTCCTTAGTGGTAGAGTAAGGTAAACATTTTTTCCACATTTCGCTTCATTTAAAACAGGAAGTAGACTAACCCGCGACGTAATCAAGGCCCGACTTCCGATGGTGATGGTTTGGTTGAGTACACACTTCTGAAGTAAGTGAAATCTATTCCCTAGTCGACGACAGCAGCAGACTGTCAGCGGACCCGCACACGAGCCTGCTTGTACCAAACATGGTTGACATTGAGCTACCTGTAGTCCAAAGGAATTTCTATGTAACCCAGCCACTTCAAAATAAGGGTTGAGAACAAGAGAGTGAATATATTGACCAATCCAAGAGCCATGACTGTCTATTTAGGCGGCTTAATAAAACATCGCACAGTATTCGCATGAAAATTGACTGGATTGTAATGTGATCACTCTGAACTGCTTATGACTAACATGCAGATATATTCAGATGAGAATTTTGTTGGCTGAGAAACATAAGCGTTACAACACAAATCTGTTCTGATTCCTATTGATCACAAACCGGTGAATGACTGGAACGACATAGAGCAACAAGGATTGCGTGATATACGAGGGTTGTGGCCCAAAGTCAGAACAAATGCAGCATGTGATCAACCTCATTCCACACTGTTTGAAGGGCTTGCTGTTGAACGGAGTGGACCAACGATCTTCTCAAGGGCGAAATGGATTGTGCTGCTTTTGTTTCTCTGTCACTACAAGAACCAAAAGGTACCATTCTCAACAACAGGCAATGCAGGAGTCTATATTCTGATTTTTCTACTGCATGGGCTTTTTGGAGTATTTCTTCGCCGAAGCAAAAGCGTAAAATTCACCTTAAGGAGGAAACTCACAGTTACATAGGTTAGAAGACTAAGTCAGAACATGTGATAAACCCAGGGATGTAATCTGAAAGAGGGCCTCGTCTGAGCTAGTGAAATTGTAGCTGACCTTCAATGAACTGATTATAGGAAACGCGGGGTTCGGTATCGGTCCTACTCCTCGTAACAGTCTGTACCTCAACATCCTGAGCAAATCTGCGGTTAAGGTAAGCGCTTCTGGTGACAAGGAAGAGTAAATAAAACACGGGTGGAACCACTACAGTGTTCGTTCACACATGTTTTGCGGGCTTCACAGGCCATCATACAAGTCCTTCGAAGTGAGCAAACTGTAGCTATTTGAGGACGGTCGTCTTGATTACGCGAACCACGTTGAACAAGATTCCACTTGATTGTTATCGACACCGAAGGCTTGCACCTTGGTTACACAAACCATTACTTGAATCGCTCCTGCTCTTGGTACCGGAATATTGACACTGGGTCTTAATGAAGTTTAAAAAAAATCAGTGAACCAACTGATTTTAGTGTTCCAGCATCTAACTGATGGTAAACAATAAACGTCCAGCTGTAATAGCCCTTTGTTTCCTATCTATCATGTCACGCGAAAGAAGCACCAGGGATGAGATATTGCCAGGTCGCTCAATCCCTAACAGGAACAGCCGAGATGCTACGATCAGTTTCGGACCACGAACTTTCCGGTCAACAGGTTTGCGCCCCGACCATCGTCTGTTGAGCCATCTTACTGTTACTGCATATGAAGGCAGTCAGTGTTTGCCTTCCTACGAAGAAGGCATGCAGATTGGGTTTTGATGAGACAGTCCTTTTTGCCTGGACAATCGGCTCTTGCTTTGGCGACTCATGATCCGCTCCATAAGCATGGTGATCCACTGGTGTAACGGTGAGACTACTGATGGGGAGGCACGCGAGTAGTATGTGTTGTTCGAGAAATTTTGCTTTGAGTCTTTTGAAAAGGGGAGATCTGTTGCGGAATTCGTGGAGTCGCTTTGTAACATTTGCTTGGAGTTGAGCGAGGAATGATTGGAGTCAATGAATCTCTGGGAAAGTTCAAGAGGATGCATTCGGGAGAAGACGGGTGTCCAGTTTTTGTAAATAAGATGCAAATTAGAGTTTTGCTTCCTTGTTCAATGGTCTGTAACCGGTCAATTGGCATTTCCTGATAAATAACTCCGCAGCGAAGGCCTTCTTCCACCGCTAATCTTGCACAACATCAGCACATAGCTATGTGGCGATAGTGTCTGGTTGAATGATGATGAATAGCCTGCCAGCCAACTGTCAGGCTCTGCAGACTGATCGGCAACCGCCTGACCAAAAGCTAATAAACAGGACTTAGCTCCCGATATACGGATACGTTGTCTGGACTACAAGCATGATGTTGGGCGACATCTTCTGAGGCAGGTATAACATACAGCTAACGGAACGAGAATGCCGTGACTGAACATACGAACAGAGCCAGCGTGGAATGTCTTGCCCTAAAAAGCAAGCATATACTTATAGCAGTCTAATGGTTTTGGTCTATCCTTTAGTCCGACGCCTAGAGGTCACCCATCTCAATGTGTTAATTTGACTAACCAATTGAAAAGATGAAGAACTCCAAGTTTACAGTCTGTCCTTAACAATTTCAACCACATTGGGCTACTATTTGGGGTAGTACCTACTGGTGTTGCCTGATAACTGGTATTCAATGCCCGAAACCAACGGGGTGTTAAATTTCGCCATACAATGAGACGCAGCGGCTACCCGTCCAGGAAGGGCTATTTTCCCGTTGAGTAGGTCCGGGTAACAGTTCTAAATCCTTATAGGCTATCTGCTCTCTACTCTTCACATGTGGATGGTTTTCTTCTGGCTACTTTTGTTACATAGAAAAAGATGGACTAACTGCATAAATTTCCCATCTTGTGTAGCGATTCTAACCAACTAATCAGAGTGCGACAATGCCAGTGATACGTGAGAAACATTGGAACGGAATGCGCAAAACTCCCTTCTTCTGATTGCCCACGACCGTACAAACAAGTGGTAACAATAGGATTCCGGTTCTCCTTTGAATTGATCAGTTTTTATCTAAATGGTCAAATTAGTTAAACGGTATCGGTTCCCCAAGCCATGGCGTTGTCAGCTGAGGTGGAGGGGACTACTATTCTGTCTCAATCACACCTGATGTTGTGCAAGCTAGTTGCAACAAGAATAAACTCTCGAATACTATGTGACTCGATAACGAGTGTACGTACACTTCTCCTTACAGATGCATCAGTTAAAACTGTATTGTAGCGATCTAGATGAAAATGTAAGGCTAGATGACTCAGTGGTTAGAGAGCGAGTTTACTGACAGGAAGGTTCGTGGTTCGAACCCGACCTCTGCATATCAACTTCCTCTGTATGGGCGTGGACAACCTGGCATTATCCCAGTCCTCGTGCTTCCTTTGGGTGGCACAGCACCTGGGCACCGAAGAGTTATTACAGCTGCACGAGTATCTTACTACCTATATGACAAAGTCTTATAGTTCCATGACAGTATTTTCAGGTCCGTAAGTCCGAATGAAAATGTTTATAACTGTGAACTTTTATTGCGGCGCTGGAAAAGCTATTACCTTTGGGCCGTTTCTGTTCCTTCTTCAGCCTTGGGTTGCCTGGTGATATTTATCACCACCATCAGTACAGTTCTGCTCGCGATTCGATATTACCTTCTGGTCCGACAGACAAAATCCGGGAGGCGCCGGAACAATGAAGGCTATTTAATGGCACCACCATCGTCAGCACCATCAGAAGTTTCGACTCACGTGGATGGCGTGGATGCAATCGGAGAAGGGAAGATGGATATTTTGGCCGATTCGGCGTTCTACCGTGCTCCGGGGTCGATAAGAGATAGCTACAAGCAAGCGCTTATTACTGACGGTTACCAAAAACTGGCCAACGGATTACGGGCCTCCAGAAACAGACAACCCGGAGTTTCTGCAGTGAGGTCATCAGTCAGAGCTTCGACAAGAGCATCACAACGCTGAATTAAAAGGTGATCAGGAAGCAATTCAAGCATAAAAGACCGAAAACCAAATAGTGGTGCTTTTTATGTATGCGTTCCTCCTACGAATGTAAATTATAAGGCAACAAACAAACAACGAAGTCTTTTTTGCATCATGACGAGATAGTGTTATCTATCGTCACCGGACCGTCTTTTTTCCTGAATGACGATCAGTTCAACAGTAATCCATCAAGTAACCACTATGGTATAGGGGATAGATCAATGACTTTATTTTCCCTGTACGTATCAAGTGACTAACCAGGGAGGACAGACAGAAGGATACTCGCTGTCTGGTTCATCAGATTCGGGAACATCCTTTCTATTCATCGCAGGAACCGAACAGGTTGAACAATTGCAACACTGATAGTAGTAAAACCGAACAGTCTTGATGATGTTTTTCTGAGTGTGAATCGGACGCATTCGCTTGAAAGGGACGACCTCCGGGGATGTGACAACTTTGAGTTGCTCCTTTAAGCCTTGTTTTGCACCTGGGGAGGTCACCTGTAAGTCTGGACCAGTTATCACTTCTGAGTTAAAAACCAATCTGTATCACCTGCCTTTTATCCCTACGGGTCACGTACATCGGGACTTTCATAACTGCATTACCAAGAAAACTATGGGCTGGCACTTGGCAGAAAATCACACCAAACTGAAGAGATTGACAGTTTTGTTAGTCAATGCCGGAGTGGATAGCATAAAATAGCACGGCAAATCTCCTGTGAGAAGAGGCGGAGAATACCTCATCCATAGTGTCCAATAAAGTATCTGCGTTGTTCATTGCAACTTATTGGGTGTTTTCTCTGAGCAAACTAAACCAAATTTTTGTAGGCTATCCTTTTTCTATGCGTTATGTATATGGTGCTTAGAAATGGAGTGGCGACCCCAGCTACTAACGGGACTTTTGATCTTACCCACATTTACTCAGAACCATGTGTTCTTTGAAGTTCATCGAAATGAACCCTTTTAAACAACGTGGTATAGCTGTAAGAGCGTACTCCTGCTAAGTAGTCCTTCCTCTCAATGATGCGGTCAATAATTAGAATGGCATGGAACTGTTTGATCTTATTTGATCAAACAGACAGACGGACTGTTGCCCTTCGTGTTTCAGAACAACTTAAAACCTTTTCAGCTTGATGTGAGTCACAAAATTTAGACCAGACAATATCACCGGATTCTGTTAGCTACATCCATCCAGAAGTTAACAGAACGTAGAAAAGACCACTGTTCATCGGTCCCTTCAGATGGTCTCCAAAGGTGGACACCGATAACTCCAAGCCGTTCACGAAGATGTGGTGGATTACCACTTACCGCTGATCGTGGATTGAACCAAAACTGGTGTGGCCTTCACCATGCAGAATGAAGCAGTTTAGTGGAAATCTGACGAACAATGATACAGAACAATTAAGACGTGACCCTATCACTAGTTATCCACCCGACAACTATTCCAAAGGTAACCACATTTCTTTCAGGTTTACATAGACAGTAAAATTGTAACCAAAGTGCACACCACACCATGAGATGTTGGTTGCAATATTGATGGAAGAAATAAGGAGCGCCGGGTGCATACCTTGCACACAAACGTCGAAGACTGACATCCATAGACGGAACAGTACGGGGTAGAGCACGTTGATGATCGGAAGTGTTAGACCATTAACTATCTTTAGGCGGCCAGAAAGTCACAGCTGAGTACGTGGTTAAAGCCAGACACAAGAGCGTAAGGAAAGTAGGTACATTTATTGGGACTTCACCAAAGGCATAGTGTAGAATGCATTCTGTCTTGTCAACTGAACTCTTATGAGTTTACAGAATGCGTATCACATATATTGCCAAGTAAGTGGGCGTAGTGCTGATTTGTTGACAGTACCAGTAATAATGGACAGTGAAAGTACCCAACTCTAAGAGATGGCGAAAGGTTGCGTGAAGAGTTAGCAGCTTAGAACGATGGAGGGGGAAGTGGACGTCGCACACATATGCATCGTTTTTTGTCGAGCAACAAGAAACACGATATTCTATCCGGTTACTATACCCGAGCGTTTCTATGCACAATTACTGAGTGTAGGCTTTGTCCCAGTTTCACGGTGGCATCACTTAATTAGTATGCAGATTGCCAAATACATGCTTTGTGGAGATGACCTCTCATATCAGTGTGTGGATGGACCATAACCGCAACTTGGATGGCAACAAACCTTTATTGATCTCTCGTGTGGTCCACGCTAACGGTACTTTCGTTCGTGCGTCATACGAAATGTAACATCGGTCAATAAGAGAAACTCTCCCAAAAGGGATCTGTGGTTAATGGGAAGGAACAGTAAGTATCTGTGAGTATCCGAACCAGAAGAGCAATGATCCTATGACCATTAGACGAAAAACATAAACTCCTCTGAGTTTTACTCCAGGGTGGAAATATGGTTTAACTTGAAAACCCCTACAAGAACCGCTGATCTGCTCAAAATCCTACGATGTTTTCCGACCATTCCAATTTTGGCAAAATCTCCGCAGTAGCAAGTGGGGTACCATGATGATCATAGTGGCTAAATTTTGTTAGCCACTGAATTCGCTAATGTCCTTACACCAGAAGTTACATTGGTGCACCCTCAGGTCGCGAACAGGCCTAATCAGTGGCACGTGACTTAGATACAACGTACGGTTCAGCTCCTGCTTCACACGAGACATGCGTATTGTAGCGCTCGTGTGGAAAAAACGACGTTTATGTTGGGGTCAGCATGTGCTGATGACGCAATCAGTACAACGCACTGTGATTATCGCGGAAACGAGTTTGTGCATAACATAATTACGCATGCAGAGGCTGAGGCATGGATCGATGGGAAAGGGAGCGGATGTGACCTTATGGGTTTGGACACCATAGCATCCAACATGTAAGTAAGTGCACAAGCTATTGGGTGAGGTCAAGACAACCGAGATATCAGCATAAGGGTGATGAAACCGTAACAAGCAAACAGACGTGATGTTCAATCCGTGAGCGCTGTCCTGTAGGTCGGCGCCCAAAAGGCTGGTTGCGCCTCCACTATACTCTCCACCAGTATGTATCTCTCTGCGGTCGCCTAACGCAGCGTGTGGTACGTGCAGTAGCTTGGCACGTTTACCCGCACCCGAGTTGAGGCACAACAAGCTCAGGGTCGCTTTGGGTGGTTACGGGATTTGTAGCATCCACATTTACATCACTCTCATCTGAACACTCCTTTTTCAGTCCTAGCAAAGTTATTCTCGTGAGTCTACACCAAAGGAGGAACACTGTACCCAACTTTCGCCCTTATTAGTGCTTATCAGCTGTTCATATCGTCGGAAGTGCCAGCGTTGGAACTCCGGACATCTGATATGCGAGGTGAACGTGTTATATCTACTCCACCAACTCACGCAGTACGTTTGAATAGCCAATGGTCCTTTGTAATATATTACTCATAAGGTTGCTGAAAATCCGCCGACAGCCCACGACCGGTTTCGCCCTTTTCGAGGCTCGTCAGGTAGGTGCAGACCCCGGGTTTCCGTCAACTTTATGTTCTACTTTAAACCAAATTGCACGAAATCAGCGAATATACACTCATTTGCAAACTAATTTGTTTT